TCCTGCTGCAAAATTCTCCTTCATTTTGGAGCTTCTGTGTTCTCTCTGTTATTTTCTTAGACAATACGAGCCTGTCTGTTCTGTGAGGATGTTAAAGGCAGATGATCATCTAAAAGCAAATGTATTTTTGGTTGCTTGTCCTTGTTTTTATTGCTGACTTGCACCTACTCTCTTTTTTGACATTTACCTTTTCCTGTCATTGCTGTCCTGGGGCCAAACACTTAGTGACCACTACCCAGTGACATTTTATACTGTGTAGCACTATCTACCTTTTCTGATGAAAACACAGTTGTCTTTGGGGGATTTTATTGATCCTTAATTTTTTTGGAAGGTTCTCATCAGTAGGGGCCTGTGAGCAAGGCTGTGACACGCACACACTGTCTATCTGCTGTGCAGCTTCTCTTTGTAAACTGCCTCCTGGAACTGATGTGTCAGTTAAGTGACTTTAGGAAAGCAGGAGGTTTTCAAAGCAGTGAAGGGCTTAGGAGGCCCTGCCTGACTTACTGGTACTACATTTGAAAATATCAGTCAATGAATAATGAAACATACAGATGAGGAGAATTTTTTCCCTTGGTTGTTTTTTTTTTTTCAGTTTTGAGTGCTCCTTTTGACAGGATCAACATTTTCAGACAAATGCAATGCATGAATTGGAGCTGTTCTTTGAGACTTCTCTATTAGTGGGATCATCTCTCTGTTGCAAAACACACTGTTCTCCTAAGGATGAACACTCTGCCTCACTTCTTCCCAATTTAGTAAATGGAATAATGCTGAATTATTTACGTCGTCAATTCAGAGAGGTTTAATTTGTTTGGGAAAGCAAAACTATTCTCGCAAAATACTTTGTGCCTTCGTGTTCTATAGTACTCTAGGAAATTATTCATACAGTTCCAAAGCACATTTATTCAGTGTTTACTTGCTAAATCTTGCATGAGAATATTAGAAGGAGATTAATAGAAACCCTGCAAGGAAATACTCACAATTGAGAGAAGTTATCGAGAATGTGCTAAAAAATTTATTCAGTACTTGCTGTTTCATAGCAGACTCCAAACTCTGCTCTCTCAATTCAATGTCACAGATCAATTTGGAAAGATGTACTTAGAGGAGAAAAAATGATAACTAATTTTCTAGTGGGATTTGTTACATACCTGTGCCCTACAGAACTTGTATTCTTGCAGCAGCATCAGCTGTACCTTTGGAAATTATGCTTTCTAAATCATCATTTATTTTCACCTTATCAGAGATGTAGAAGTACTTGAAAGAGATGCTTGAATTTAGCTAATGACACAGAATGCTTTTGTGCTAATTCTGCCCTTGAATTTCAAGTTTGACTTGTAGAAGGCTAGAAATTTCCTGGCTTATTTGAGAATGAATGATGTTTCACAGGTGTGGATGGGGGAGAAGTGATCCTTTTATAGGAAGAATACAGGAATCCATCATGTGCAGTAGTTAGCTTTTTGATTTTTTTTTTCAATGGTACCGTGAGAAGTGACACCACAGAAATGTGAACAGGCCAAATTAGGAAGAGGCAGCAGCAATTTTAAGTGCCTTGGAGCACAAGAATGAAGTGTTTGAAAATCTGCAATCATTTTTATACAGATGATGCTAGAGTTTCAAAGAGGTGGCAGCAGCAATTTTAAGTGCCTTGGAGGACAAGAATGAAGTGTTTGAAAATCTGTGTTGTTGCTGTTCACAGCAATCATTTTTATACAGATGGTGCTAGATTTTCAAAGAGGCGAAGTGTTTGAAAATCTGTGTTGTTGCTGTTCACAGCAATCATTTTTATACAGATGGTGCTAGATTTTCAAAGAGGCCAATATCCTGAAGTGCATGAGTGGCTTTTCTCTTGGCTGTAAATTAAGGTTTTAAGTAGTGTTTGTGCTCAGTGCTGTACACAATCCCTTGCAACTGGGAATGGTTGAGAGGCTCTGATAGGGAAGGGATACTCTGCTTGCTTATTTCCTCATTCATCCTTTAAAATGTGCTTCTTGTAAGTGACTTGGCAATGAGGAGTGCAGAAGTGAGTCACTGAAGAGCCCAGTAGTGAATGGAAGGGCTTTGGGGGTTTCCTCTGTGAGAACAGTGTGTGTGAGAGGCAAGGACAGGTCATGGCCATGACCAGAGTGAAGAGATCTCAGGTAGTGCAGAGCTCTGATCTACTATGAGGTGTTGCAGCTCGATGAACTGAAGCAGGAGAGATTTGGGAGATGGCTGTTGTGAGAAAACAGCAAGCTGAGAAATTCTAGCTACTGTTTTAGAAATTAGATAAGATGCCCACGCTTTTAGCTGGTGTTCTGATGGAGTTGAAGAAACAGTAAGAAGAAGGAAGGGTGAGTCAAAGTAGCTGACTCAGTCTTTAAGATGTAGAATGTTCTATGTTTAGCTGTTGACTAGATTCAGGAAATTTCTCCTTAACAAATTGAATTCTTGACAGATCAGGATTTTTCATTTTATTTGTCTTTGGGGGAAATGTGTGTCAAACTCACGTATTTTTGCAAATTATAAAGGAAATTTCAGAACTTAAGGAGTTATTTTCCTGCCTGGATACTGTCTTGAAATTATACATGCTAATTATCCAAAACTCAAATTCCTGGTTAAAAGTAAAGATTCATAAACTGTAGGACATGCACCTTTAATGTTAAACAAGCATCTTGCTTCAAAGCAACATGCAAACACAGCTCAAATCCAAGTATCTCATTCATCAATTTCTGCTGCAGTCAAGACATGAACATGGGAATGGCTGCACTGAGGCACAGCTCTCAGGGAAGAAATACTTCCTGAGGATTTCTCAGCTCTTTGACAAGAGGAATAGATCATGAGCACTTGTCAAACCTGGTAGAGTACCTCTGCATAATCTTCCCCTTCCTTGCTGGGGCACCTGTAGAGCAATTGATCCCACACCAGCTCATTTCCAAATATCCTGATTTTGTTAGTGTGCTTATCCTGCATGTATTTTCTCAGGAAGAGAATCTTTGCTGGCATAACAGAAAATTTTAACTTGCTTATGGAAAAAGTCTGTAATTTATCAATGGAGTGGATGGGGAGGAAGAAATTTCTTTGCTTTTTTGGATGCAAAAGGGTTGGGTTTTGATTTTTAGCTTTTTCATGTCAGTATCATTCTTGAGGTACAAGTACCTCACACAAATCTTGGCAAGGGAAGTAAAAAACTTTGCTCAATTTATGGTGTTTTGTGCTCCAAGATTTGCCATCAGCTTGCATTGAGGTGGTTCTATGAGTCAGGGTTTGGAAATAGTGGGACATGCTTAAGAGAAGATGGAGGAGACTTATAGTTGATGTTGGAAATTCAGCATTTTTCCCTTCCATACTCTAGAAATGGAGAAAATGATCTTTTCCCTTCCATAGCCTTTGAAATGCCCTCTGTTGCTTAATGGTTGAATCATTCTCAT